ATTTTGGATGATGTTGCCTCGCAATGGGCCTCAGTTACATTGGTAGTCCTCAGGGCAGCCTACTTGGCCCAGTTCTATTTGTCTTCCATAGGGTAGGCACCCCGCATGGGTCTGAGTTTCCCGTTCGTGCCCATCCCTTCTGGGCTTTATTTCTTTATGTCTGTATATTTTAATTTTTTGATCTTGCCAATTAAAGCTTGGCATACATACCTTCCTTGTGTGTCCAGTGTGGTTTTTGTCGATTTCTGCCCTTTTTAGGCTTGCTTTGCCATCCCTCTTGTTTCTTTTATACTCCGTCTTATCAAACGTAATTTATTTCCCCATAAAATTTTTGGAAATAGCTTGATGCGTTAAGCGTTCCTGACGGTTCGACGTCTTCACTTCGGCAAAACATAGGATGCGCTGTTTAGAGTTCAAAGGAAAAATATGACGAGTTCATAGAATATCACGTCCATTATGCCTTAAACATTTGAACCTTAGATGCTTAGGCTCTGCTGATGAGATATCCTGTTATTTTTGTGCTCGTTGCAACGGAACAGACCAAGAAAGCGAACAAGAACAATCACAAAGCAAGAATGACTTTGAGCATTCTGAACACTATGCCATTCCCGAACTAAGGGAATTGCTATCAAAAAAGGGCCAAAAACTACTACATAAAAGTATTAGAGGCTTGCTGGGAAAGAAACCGAGAATATGTCATATATTGGATGCTTTCAAAAACGTTGGCATTTTTTCTGTTAGCGAAACGCACTTTTCCACTGATGATGAGACTCAGGCACAGATTGATGGTTTCAGGTTTGTTGGCAAATCTAGAGCATCGGGTCAAGGTGGAGGTGTAGGGGTTTATATCTTATCCTCTGTGCCCTTTACAGAGGACGGATCTTGAGCATGAAGAAATTGAGTGTATATGACTTGAGATTTTATTTCTCAAAAAGCAAGAGCTTTCTTATTGGAATTATCTATCGCCCTCCAGAATCGCCAAAACTTCTCATCCCGCTTTTTAATTGAAAATTTGAATCAATGCTATCATCTTTGTCTTTGGAGAACAAAGAATGCTTACTAACAGGTGACATCAAATGCAATCATCTGGTGGATTCGGATCACAAAGAACTGAAATCATTTCTGGCATCTTTTGGTTTGAGGCAGCTCATTACCGTGACTCGCACGAGGATTGCACAAAAATCTCAGACGTTAACTGATGTTCTCTGTAGCAATGAGCCACATGAAATCTACTTTACGAAAACAATCCTAGTTGGTTTAAGCGATCACGAACTGATCGGTTGTGCACGCAAAGTCTATAATGCTACATTTAAACCCAGGGTTATTACATGTGGAAATTATTCAAACCATAACCCTCAGCTATTCTGTGATGATTTAAGATCCAGACTTTCAGAATGTTTTCTCCTACTTGGTCCCTTTTTAAGAGCATTCTTAAAGAATGCATCGACAAACATGCGCCTCTCATAGCAAAAAAGAGTTGAAGGAAGGTTGCGTTCATGGCTAACCTCCTTGCTAAAAGAGAAATGACTTGAGGGAAAATAAAAATTTCTCAGGAAAGTTCGCAGAACAAATCGTGAGGTCGACTGGTCCTCTTATAAGCGACAAGNCTTACTCATCGCCCAACCGTAAAGGTTGTTTGCATCGAGATATGTGATGAACTTTGAAGGTTCAGAGGGGTCAAACTTTTTACCCATGTATTTGTTGTTGGCTTTTGAATGCCTTGTTGGAATCATTGAAATCCCACCGCGAATACCAGCCTCAAACATGTGCAACATATTCACATCGCTCAACAACTCAAGTTCTATCTCAGTCAACTTGAGACAAGCATCCCAAGCCAAACCCGGCGCGGTGAAGTACCAACAAGGATCGAGATCGTAGTTCTCTTTGCAAAGTTCGCGAAAGTTTTCAAACACATCGGCTAGTAAAAGAACATCGCTTCGATTGTATAGATTGTGGTAATCTCTGAATGTCTTACAACCAAAAACTCTCCACACCCTCTGTGCATGGATATAGTCTTCATCCAAGATATCGCTACCACTTAACACGGAGAAGAAAGCTTCTTTTGGTGGAAGTTGTGGTTTATCAAGCTTGTGTATGGAGTTCATCCATTCATAGGGATAAACACCCTTTCGCATCAATAGTTTAAGCTTCTCTCCAGAATAATATTTTCTTGTATTTTGGAAGAAAGACTCACCCTTTTCAGCAAGGTTGTTAACGAGCTTGTCAAGACTGGAAGCCATAAATTTGAAGCTGTCAATGAATCTCAGCTCTCTCTTTACCTCAACGTCTTTTTCTTTTTCTTTGTTGAAAAACTTGTCAACCACAACGTGTTTTGTAAAGCTAATGTATTTTTCTTCGTTGTTTGGTATGCAGTCAATGTCTCCTTCTGAAACACCAAGATTTCTAACAAAAAGATGAGCGTCATAGTTTGCCAAGTTGTGCAGCACGACAGGTGTGAATTTTGGTCGTCGGAATTTTAGGTTGCAGCTGTTATGCGCAGCCCCTCGAAATTTACCGGTGTAATGACAGTGATCGCGCACTTTGTCCCCCCCCTCTTTGAAATCTTCTCTACATAACCAACAACACATCGCATTTTCAAACTTTTCAACATCACTGTCTGTTAAAATCATCTCCTTTTTGGGATGGTTTTTGTATATGCTCTTAACCTCCGCTTCAAGCATTTCAACGAATGTCTGTGCAACATCTTCATCTTCAGACTTTGCTGTATACTCAACCCGTTTTGAGTATCTATCATCAAATGAACACTTAACATAATAACAAAAACTTATTGGAATATGTTGTTGCTTTCTCTCAGTGTAACACCCTGCTGGATCTGCTTGAACGGTGTCTAAAGGTTTGATTATCGACTCAAAGTCTGCATAGATGGTAAATGGCATGGTCATCTGCTTTTGATGATTCTTAAAAGGGAGATAAGTCCCCTCTTTTGGCATCTTTTCTCTCACAGCCTCATGATCTCGACACAACTCGTCGTGTATATCGAGAAGCTTTTGTGTACCAAAATAATTGAGACATCTATCACAGATGAACTTTTTATGTTCATTTTTCGACAATTGACTCGATATGAGTCGACTCATAGATTTAATGAGACAGTAATGCTTTTTCTCACCATCAGAGATGAGAAGAAGACGGATACGAGGCTTGTTGCTCTCGACATTGCTCACTCTCAAGGGTTGGAAGTCACCTTCATAACTGAAAACGTTGACGGCAATACCTGGATTCAACTTTTCAAAGCGGTGAATATCCTTTACCTCCATCGG